AATCATATTAAGACATTAAAGATAATACCACAGCGATGTAAAATACACAGAACTGAAACAAAAAGAAAGACAATGCACCGGACTGTCGTAGGTGGTGATAATATAAAGAGACACGTAATTGAGTATTACATTTCAAGAAATATACCTTTAAGCATTAAAAGCATCGAAGATATAGGTTTTAATGAACATGAAAACTTAGATTGTTTGTTAGATGGCATTGTAGACGATGACGGTTTTGAAGCAACGATGATAGTTGAGGTAGATTTATTTGTGAGATTTCATAATTTCAACTATTATGAAGACGCTGAATTTAGCACTTTTAGTTTCTATTTTCATAGTGATGATGTTGTAGATACCGTAGATAATATAGATGATGTAATGAGAGCGGCGCATCAAGAAATATACAGCTGTATGGATGATGAAAGAAGTAGAATGGGTTTTGAAGGAGTAAGAAAACAGAAGTTTAAACTAATTATTGATGAACATGAGTAAATCAAAACTAAACCCTAATTATAACATAAATATTCTTGTATGTTACAACTATAGAGAACTGTTAACCTATAAAAGAACATTAGCTAGACAATCGCATAAAAATCACATAAAAGAAGTTGTTAAGATGTATTAAGAATGGTTGTTAAGCAAACTATAATCAATAATTATGGAATGACAGAAGAAAAAGCAAAAGAAGACTATGGTGAATTCTTCAAATGTAACAGGTGCCTTTATGATAAAACAATTGATGAATTTGGAAGTGTAAAAAGTGGAAGAATATATAAATATTGCCAAAAAATGTAGAGATAAACGTCAAAGAAAACAAAAGCACCGCCAAACTCCCCAGAACATTTAACCACTTAAAGGGTTGCCTCTTTCAAATGAACAAAATGTCACTCCCCAGACTAAGAATGAAACAGGGGGAACAAACCCAAATGTCTGACCTCTAACAAAACGATATATCACCTCCCCAAAAACCCTCTATTAAAAACGAATAAGGTGGTCAACAGGTTTGAGATGAACATAAAAACCATAACAGGCAACCCGAAACACCACTCCCCCCAGGACCCCTCTTTCTTCTATTTTTTAGGGGGGGGCGTCCACATATATAGACGCTACAAAAGATGTGTGTCTGTGTGTGTAGGTGGGTAGGTAATTAGCCTCTTGCACGCCGGAAGAGGCGCTTGTGCTGAGAAGGCTCGCGAACGGAGTAAGCAACACTATGAGCTGCCACGGGTCGCCAGACTATCTTTGCCTTTCGCTTGAAATCAAGTTGCTGTGAAGAGAGCATGTTCCAGACTTCATTTCCTGGGCCCTGGTCAAGGAGCCTGCCATTTCCATGTTTTGCCACGTCCATATAAAGCCGCCTGGTCTTCGCACCTGTAGGGCTCACGATCATCTTCACTTTGCCAGGCGCGAAAAGTGAAGCACCGCAACCCTTCTCGCCCCAAAGTTCGGCCCGGGCCACGCGGCGCCGCTGATCCTGAAAGGTTGAAATTCTGCAGCGGGTCTCTCTCTGCCATAACAAATAGTCTCCCTTACCTTTAGGAAGCTCGGGAAAAGCAGGAAGTCTGCCTTCGCTCTCTTTACTGTTGCCTTCTCCGCTAGTCAGCCTTCTCTGAGTACTTCTTGATGATGCGCGGGACAATTCAAGTGCACCCCATCGCAGTCGTCGCACTTGAGGAACTGCTTCTGCCCAAGCAGGAACATCAACTTCTTCGAAAGCCAAGTGTAATTGACCAGAGGGCCAGCTGCAAGTGATACTTCGCTTGTTCTTTGGGCTTCCCATAGTCTTCTCTCCATACCTCATCAAACATAGGAGGGTCTCGCAACTGCAAGCTCAAGCGAATCACTTAAGCTCTCAGCCTTGTCACGCCTCACCATGTCCGTAAACTAGGCGCCACAAGGACTATTCTGCAACACTCTGTAATACGGTAGTAATACTTTGCAATCCTCTGCCTTTCTCCTATGTTCTCGGCTCCTCGCCTCTCCAAGCATCGTCCTAATTGATGATGCTCCCTGCGAGACAGCGAGGAATGGTGCCGAGAGAAGCTCAAACCCAAGGCATATCTCTTCCTCTTTTGCTCTTTCGGATCCCGTGTAAAGGCCTTTCGGGGCCTTAGGCCTTCACACGAGCTCATCCCCCGAGCTAAGGCAAAACGAAGTAGCCGAGACTGTACAAACTCTCCCCGCGCGCGTGCTCTTGCCAGCTTGTCCGAACCCTTCTAGAATTGAGCCTTGAAAAACACAAAAGTAACGCAACAAGCCTTGAAAAAGGCAACAGCAATGCAAAACTTGCAGTTATGTTCAAGTGTGAGGCTTCATCTTCTTGCAGCCCACTCGACACGCTCCGCACACTCTCACAGACACCACTGAACCGCACGTGACAAGGGATGCTTTGGGCCAATGCACTGCAGGTCGACCATTCACAACACCCCCGCTTTCATGATAGTCATGCTCCGTGATTTCATCGCCACGTCTTCAACCCATGGCAAACCCCTACAAACAAGTCCGAGCAATACACTCTCTCCTTGCAAGCAATTCGCTGCAACGATGTCTCCGCACCATGCCACTCACGGTCTCTCCGTTTCTTTTTGATGCAGCCACATTGGCAATGCAAGGAAACACAGGCTAGTTGCGGGTGGCAAGAACCAGAAAGCCAATGCCATATCAGATTGTCTTGGAGCGGCAGTTTCACTGTCAGCCGAATGTATCGCATCATCACCGTGCCGGGCAACTTACAACTCTATCAACAGCTCCCAAAACCAGGTGCTGATGCAGCGCTTGTACGGCAGGGTCTCTTCAGGTCAGGCAGAATGCAGATGGCGACCCGTTTTGCACGGGAAGGCGACAGGCCTGAAACCCGGACGTCAAGCATCTCAGGAAGCGTGGCGCTGCCAGTTGGCTGGGCAAAGCAAACCTGCAAATGCGCAGCGTCCCATGTCCGGATTGTGTCAAGAAAATATGGGGCGCGTCATTTTGCACTTCGGTTGCTGTAGCGCAGAAGCAATTTCGCTGGCGTTGCTTAGCTAGTGCACAGCCTGCAGGCATATTACAAGGCGACACGCCACTTCCACAGATAACCAAAGGCTTGGCACGCAGCGGAAGCCCGGCCAATGACAGTTGAAAGCAATACGCACAAGCCAGCTCTGTCAGGAGAACCACACTTGGCGCCTTCCGCGCACAACAGCTAGGCAAAGTTGAACATACCGAAAGTCAAAAGCCACTGAAGCAACGCGAAAAGCTGCGTGTGAGATCCGTTTCCGGATCGACTGCATCGTGAGGGGCACATGGCCGAGAAAGCCGATGCAAATCAAGGCTCTTGATTGGGGCATGAGGCTGGCTTTGCTGCAAGAGGTGCAAATCATCCGGGATACACGCTCCGCCTGTGCAATGCTTCAAGACGGTTTCAATAGAGGGCTTGCTCCTGCGGGCGCATAGAATTTGAAGGAAACACCAGCACTCATCACAGCTGCAATACGACAAGCCTGTCAGCAAGCACCCAGAATCGTTGTGCAATAGCAAGTGCATCAAGTTTGATGGTGCGCTGTTGGCTCAATGCGCCCACCGTCTTTGCACTTGCGTTGCTGATCATGCACTGTCCCATTCGTCTGCCGCGTAGGCCTTAGCGAGCATGGAGAACATGCCCCCGCTTACCTTAGAAACAGCACGGCTTGCAAACTTCTTGGCCGCCGCAGCCCGCTTCCAACTTGCCATTGAGACACCAAGCTCAGCCAAGGTGTGGGTTCTTGGCCTCGCGTACAGCTTGCATGTCTCACGTCTCCCACGCCCGGTATGAGCGCAGCTTCTTCGCATGCACTGCGTGCACTGCGTGCACTGCGTGCACTGCGTGCACTGCGTGCACTGCATGCACTGCCTTTCTCCCGCGCTCAAAGAGACGTGCCAAGTGGCGCAGGCAAGGCCACGCAGCGCACATGCTGGGACAGGATGGAATGCGCAGGGGGGGACGGCAGCGGTCGGGATGCTTCTTCCATATGGATTGCCGGCAAGGGAGCGCAGGGTGCCAGACGTGTACTCGAGGCTGGGCGGTGGCCGAGCGCAGCATCCTGGAGGTCTGTGAACTCGCAAGTGCTTCCGTTGATGTGAGACACAGGGCTCACCCTCTTTAGGAACTTCCAAGGCTCACTCCGGGCAAGCTTTCAGCCATGTGGATGGCCGACGTGGAATTGTCCGTGCAGCTAAAGGGAGGCGGTCACCCGACTGTCACTTTCTGTCCAGCAGGCTCGAGCACCCCTGACCGCTCCGTGCCTGCACAAGGGCACCATCTGCCAAACAGGCAACGGCTTCTCCAAATGACCTCACAACGAAACAAGCCGGTGTAACATGTGAAAGTGCCCTGCAGCATTTTGAGGAGAAACAGGCTACCTGCATGAGCTGCGAAGCTTTGAAACACGTTGCAGCTCTCTGCAACTTTGTGTTTGCACAGCCGCTAAACGGAACGCTGGGCCCTTGGGCCCAGTTCAGCGCTGCTCATTCTGGCCGCTTGTGCAAGCCGCGTGCCTTCAGCGAGGCCGCCGCCACGTCGCCGATCTTGATCGCACAAGGCTCGCAAATGGCAAGCGCACGCTACCAGCGCGAGGGCAAAGCAAGCTGTGGAAGGCGATCCAACACAGAACTGCCTGCTGGACCGATGCAGCGCATCTAGTTGCAATCGCGCTGCATGCATTCGAGAACACAGACTTCAGATGTGTCTTGAAGCCTCCAGTCTTCGAAATTTCAATGGAGCCAGCACAATCCCTTTTGATCTCCATTGCAACAAAGTGCTTGGCAACCTGGCACGTGCTAGGGCAAAGCAGTGCTGCCCAGAACACAGCGATTGCTGCGTCCATCACGACAGAACTTCTGTAGCATTCGGGAGGTGCCAGCGAAACTTGTGAGGAGCCACTGTCAGACGGGAAGCAGCATGGGCGCCCCCATGCAATGAAGGCTGGCATTGAACTTGCCGCACCCAGGAAGTCAAGCCCAGCCTGTGGAAAACGGCCTGAATTTCAATCCGACACGGAAGCTCGCACCAACATGGCTCGTGTACCGTGCTGCAAGCGTGCTGCCACCGACGGAAACCCTGCATTCAGGAACGCATGGTCCAAAAGACCTTCAATGGCATGGTGTCCCTTCAAGGAAAAGGAGCAGCTCGTTGGACCATGCAACAGGGCACCTGGAGCCTTCAAGTGCTGCAAGTGCACAAGCTGCCTCAAAAAACCGCCCATACCTTCTGCCTGCACTTGATTGCACGCCAAAGTCTTCCTTGGAGAGGGCTTCGGAACAATCATGCTTGATGGGTTGTGCCAATGAATGAAGCCTTTCTGCACATTCATGCATGCAATATCAGCCAAGTGATTCTCATGCAATTGGCTTGACAAAAATCTGAATGGCAGAAAGTGTTGGCTCCAGTTGCCAGGGATGGATTTGGGATGGCACCACGTGTGCTGGCGTGCAATGGATGGATAGGCCGCTGGCTCTTGAAACATCAGCTGGAGGTGGTACGAGGTGCTTGGCAGCATGGGCACCTCAATGTAGCGTGGCGGGGTAACTCCCAGACATCAATGTCACTCAACCTCCAAATGCACAAGTGGAGCCTCCACAAACGCTGCATCAAAGATCAGAAGCTTAGGAGCCTGCCAATCCTCCCAAGCAGCTTGTAGCTTCACTCCTGTGTGAACCGTTCATCGTGGCATCGTGGCTTGCGCAACTCGTCGGAGTGGAGCAGCTTGGGTGGTGGGCCAGAAATGCAGAGCTGTGTGAGACTGCAAATCACGTAGAACTGATACATGGAGCCTGTGGTGTGCTCGCAGAGATGGCTGGTGAAACTGTGAAGCAGCCAGTCAAACGGGAAGCATAACCAAAGCAGCTTGGCTGCTCTTGAAACTGCTCAGCTGGCGAACCATCGCATGCTCAGTGAACTAAGCATAAAAGCAGCCGCCAAGCATAAAAAGAACCGAAATCCAGCTGGCATGGACCGGTCCTGATCTCGGAAATGCTCTGCGTAGGCTGGGCCTTGGGCTCTGCGGACAGGGCTGGCGAGCATGGCTAGCATGCTAGCATGGCTGGCGTGGCGTGGCTCGAGGAGAGAATGCAACTCGGCCTGTCCCGCGAGGCCCGCTCTCCAAGCCCTCCCGAGAGCGGCTCCCCAGCACAGCACAGGACAGCACAGAAGGACAGCACAAGTCTCGCTTGCGGGGGGCAACACGCTAAGGGATGTGGTTGTGCCAAGAGCACACACTAAAGTCGCTAAAGCGAGTGCTGGCACAATCCTGCTCCAAAGCAGTTTGGATCGGACCCTGCTGCCGCTGCACGTCTGTCCGCCAACCGTGTCATGGGTCTGCGATCTGCGCTTCATTGCTGGCAGACGCCTGTTGCACATGTTTTCGGCACAAGCCTTGCAACCACAGCAGGTGCAAGAGAACCGACATCCATCCACCCTTGGCATGCACAGCCTGCACAGCGAGGCCTTGCTGAAAGCCATTGGATAAAATGCTGAAAGTACCACGTAGCTTCGCGATCAAACACCTGCGCATTCAAGCGAAGCTGCGCCTCTGTCGGCAGAAGACGGCCTTTCTCGCTGCAGATCTGCTTTGCGGCAGTACGGCAACCGATTACATTGTTTCCGAGACCGCGTAAGAGTGTGGCTCGATAGTGGGCAAAGATGGGGCCAAAAGAACAAACAGGGACCGTTTGCTTGAGCAGGGCTTCCGATCGATTTGCAACTGAGGTGTGGAAGTTGACAGTTTGAAAAGCGTGGAATCTGATACCTGCGCCACTGATACAGGAAGCATCATCCAGGCTGCCTGGCAGCACCCCATCAGATGCCATGCAGCCCTGAGTGGGGGTCCTACGCACAGAATTGGCGTGGAGCCGACCCGCAGGTCGCATCATAAATCCTGCGACCTTGGAGCAGCCCAAGCAAACAACTTTAAGGGGCGTTGCTTGGGCAGTGGAATTCGTAGGGACGTTGAAGATCGTTTGTGCCTCTGCAGGCCTTTTCGTGGACTTCGTAAAGGTGCGTTCAAGCGCGTGATCAAACAGAAGGGCTGCCACAGAGCATCGCACGATCCATCAAAGCCCTGTGCACGCGAAGGCACTCCAGGCGGTGTGCGGCACGGTATGACCAAACGCGACGCCTCGACGCCTCGACGCCTCGACGCCTCGACGCCAATTTTTTGCATCTGCCCGAATTACTTTGAGACCCTGTCGCTGTTACCGCGGAATCCCGGCCTCCCCGAAAGCGCACGCCTGGCAAGTGGAGAGGCCTGCATCGAGGCAACTTGGTCGAAGTGCTCCTGCAACAGCACGACATTGCCTTGCTTGACGGGGCAGCATTTGGGAAAAGCAGATGGTTTGCAAGGCCAAACATGCTGCTTCTGCAGCGCTTCTTGCTGCGATTGCAAGTCTGCACTTCGGTCAGGTGTTACACTTCTCAACATTGGTGCGGTATGATTGTAGGTCAAAGCACTGGCGAAAGCTTGGCCATGACTTTTGAGGGTACGGCACTGGGTCGAGGCTGTGAAATTGAAAGCATCAAAAGTCGATGCCTGCGAGCTGAAGGGCATTGCATGCCAAGACGCTTGAGGGTTTACAGGGTGCTTCACGTGTGCGACGTTGCTTACAGGGTGCCCGCAGAGTTCGCTCCGCACTTGACTTGCGAGGCACGCAGGTGCTCCGTCTCACTTCGGGGCTGCAGAAGCCGCAGCTCACGGATCGCCGAGCAAACGCGGCCCCGTCAACCTGGCACGAGCACCACTTGATTGACATCAGAAGAAACACGTCGGCAAACTATCTCCAGCTTTGCGTGGACCAATTGAACTAGCATCCTGCTTAGTTCTGATTGCGCGTATTTTCCCTACAACCTGTTCTGATGCGGCTTCAAACACATGCCATGCCCCTGCGCAATCTGAAGCAACCCCTACTCACCGCTTGGCCCAGCCTCCAGCAACTCATAGTCCAGCACATTCGCACTCACTGATTCACTGATGTGGCCTGACAGGACGAATGTAAACAGCTCAGGAATGCGACTAGATCAAGTGAAAACATTGTCGTTGGCCAATTAGCGCTTGCCATCCCGAAATGTTGCTTCACAGAAAACCCTTCGTCCTGGCCTTCACTCACAATGGCGCAAGTGCCGTTGCAGAATGGCTTGCGACTCGCTCGACTCGCTCGACTCGCTCGACTCACTCTCCTAAGGCAGGCTTCGCAGTCCGAGGCACGCGTAGCCACGCGCACTCCTAGAACGGGCCGCGCAGCGTGGCACCTGCCATGTGAGATGCATGGTAGACCTTGGTCTTGGTCTCCTTCCAGGCTATGACCCGGCAAAGCGCGCAGCTTGGGCCAGAAGTGCAAACTTCTAACGGTGTGCAAGCACGATAGAATGGCATGTACCTCCAGGTCTGTCAACTGGTGTGCCTGCAGAAAGGCAGCACAACCAGATATGGCAACCAATGTGAAGTAGTGTGGGATGGAGAACTGCCTGCGTGGCTCACGGGCACAATTTAGCCGGGGATTCCATCGGCTACCGAAGCAGAGCGCTGCTGTGATTCGAAAAACACATTAACACCGAGACTCAAAGATGCGAAAGATGGTTGCATTAACATCGACGCTTTCTCGCACCAAGGCTGAAGGGCGCGCAAAGCGCGAGGCCTGTGCTCCAGACAAACTGTTTCTTGAGGGCTGTGAAGGCCGGCTGCCAAACTGCGCGAGCGCAGTGTCCATTTTGCAGAAATGGCAGACTCTTGGGCTGCATCCAAATCCCACTGAGAGGCTGATCATGCCCTGTTGGCACCGACACTGGGAAACTTGGCCTGCCAGTTTATTGAGGCGGTCGGGCTGTCCCAGCAACACTTGCCCTGGGAACAAGCCTTCACCAAGCTGACAAGTCAATGGCAGTTGCTTGCGTGGCTGTGTCCAAGTCCACGTCCAGCAACCCAGCTGCCCACGTTGATCTTACAGAAAGGCCTGGCCAAAAGGGCGGTGGAACCATACACTGTGCTCGGATCACAGGAGCTGCATCCCTTGCTGGCACTGCCGAGTGCACTTTCCAGGCACCGGCTCGGCGGCAAGTGGCAAAAGCAGTGAGCCTGACGCTTTTGGTCATTCGTCTCAATCGATGTGGATCTAACTCATCAGCACCTGCAATCACTGGCCACACTATCCGAGGGAGGTTGAGAACCTGCGCGTGTAGCTGCAGCTTGAAAATAGAGTCTGTTGTTCTAGCGCCCAACAAATGCAATAGGCTCAGGCTCCTCGCACGTACACAGATCTGCCTGCCTGTGGGCCTGATTTGGAATAGGCAAACAGGGCCCCGAGCAAGATTTGTAACTTGCAAAGGCTCCGTGCGACTTGCCGAGACTGCCTCCAAGGCGTAACAATCAATGCAGCTATGTTTCAGTAAGCCTGGGGGGTGTGACACCTGGCATAGGCTCCCATCTTCGTGGAACATCTGACACAAAGGGAATTCTATCTTACACATCTTACACAACCTAGCTCAGCCTTGCATGGAATTGGCATCTGTTTTTTCGGAAACTGCTTGGGCAAAGTGCTTCAAGCCGTGAGGCATTGCCCACAGCTACGGATCCACAAATAGGCTAGGTCCCAATGGAGGCACTTGGGCTGAGGACCAAATCGTTCCAGGCGCCGGATACTCTGGGCTTCCGGACGCAAAGTTCCCTGATGCCAAAAGTGTTCGATTCAAGCTACTTCCGCATGACGCTTGGGGTTATCGCTTTTGGGGTTTTGCTCCATCTTGCGTGGTTTGGAGCAGATTCAGCGTACAGCAGCGCAGACATGCACCTTTCATCGGGGGTTTGCCCAGTTGCTCACTTTCACTGACGCACCTGAGCGACATCAAGACTCAGCACTACGCCCCTTGTTAGCCGGCACGCATCCTTGACACCAGCGCGAAATCCTGCAGAGACAATGTAGCATCCTCCGGGTGCCTTTGGATTTGCTGCAATTCCCATTACATGTACCTCACAGCAGGCTGCAAACTAACGAACCTGCCCTTTGCTTGTTTTGCTGTTGATCCACTTGAAATGTGCATTGAGCTCGGGGCAGCAAGCAATTCATCCAGGGCAGAGTCAAACTCGCGCAGCAGGCGGCAAGTTTGCTGGGATGCAGCTTTTTGTAGACCGACACGAAAGCTTGTGGCTGGCTTTAGCACAACATTCACATGAAACAAGGTCTGCATGCCTTTGATCGCCCTATTGATGTGCAGTTTGCCTTTGCAACACTTGACATAAATGAAGCAAATTTGTGCATCTGATGTGTAGCGACGGTGGCACCAACCTAGCGCAACCTTGCATGGAATATGTGTCACGCTTGTGGGTGGCCCCATTACACAAGTGAGCCATGTCCCAAACGTGTCATGATTCGCCATGACTTAAAATTTTGCTTCTGCCACCAGCTCACGCCACCTGACGCACGTGGTGTCTTTGCTTACGCGACACGTGCACAAGTTTTGCTTGCGCCACCTTACGCGCAAGGAGTTTGTGCTTACGCAAAGGGCAACTCTTACTTACTAAACATGCACACGAAGGCTTTAGACTCTGCAGCTGTAAGCTGCTTGGGCAAAGCGCTTCAAGTGCATTGCTCATGGCAACGGATCCATAAATGGGCTACGGCGGCTACGGGAAGTTCCAGCGGGGCCAATCATCCCTGTCCCTTCCCGAAGCTGGCTTCCCTTTCCGAAAAGCCCCCAAGGGTCTTCTGTACTTCAAGCGAGGTGTTGGTTTACGATTTTGCCAGCCCAGCAATGGTGCTGGCGTTGATCCTCCCCGCGAGTGCTATATCCAGCACACACTCTGATTAGAGTCTGGAGTTCGGATTGGTTTGCAGCGCACTTTGCGCATTCTCACCGCCTCAGGTCCCAATGGAGGCACTCGGGCTGGGAAAACAGTTCTCGTTACGTGATCGATCTGGTTATCGTTCCTTTAGCCGGATACTTTGAACTTCCAGACGCAAAGTTCCCTGATGCCAAAAGTGTTCGATTCAAGCTACTTCCGCATGATGCTTGGGGCTATCGCTTTTGGGGTTTTGCTCTATCTTCCGTGGTTTGGATCAGCATACGAGTCAAACTGGGGCAGCAGGCGGCAAATCTGCTATGCAGCTTGTGGACGGCGAATTTTGTGCACAGAAAACACTTATTGTCTGGTGCAACGATGTCGGCTTCTCATAGCCCTCTCTACGCACAAAAGAGAAAAGGTATGTTGGCTCAACAAAAGGACGCATGAGTTGGGTCAAAGATGTTTAAGACATGTTGGATTCACTAGCAATGCCCTTTTGTATGCTTGAAAAGAGTGGCATCCACCCGTAGGCATCTGTTTGCATGTTCCCTCGTGATTCTGGACTGGCAGCCGCTACACCTGAAGATCAACGGATTTGGAGACATTCGGTTCCGCTGGCAAACGGCTGCGCTCATTTCTCAGCCTTCCCGATCAAGCAAGCTGAATTAAACATCGTGACAGTTTAGCCAAACAGTGCTTGGCATGTCAATGATGCAGCCTGTCAACAGATTTGGCAACTTCTGAGAGTGCCGGAGCGAGCCAACTGCAAACCAGAAACCCATAGAGGTGTGCAAATGTCAGCCTCGAGCTGTGCATCTTCTCAGTTGAGCGCAGAAAGCTTCAGCCACACGCAGTGCGCTCTTACAACTGCTGCGTAACTCAAATGCCTGGGCTCATCTCTGCACGTGCTACAAGCCACCTGGGACGCATGTCAACTCGCAGACTGGCATCCGCTCCCTCGACTATTGCTGCTTTTTGCACTGTCATTCTGCTGTGGCAATGTGCGTTTCAGCTACTGGCATGCAGCGCAGATCGCAAGCTGGAGAGAATCAGGTCCAGAATTGTGCGTCACATGGTGCGCTTCAAACATCAACACTGAAAGGTCTCGGGTGGGTCTCACTCGAAACGGCACCCGTACTACATTTAAGAGGTCGAAATGAGAACCTAATCCGAGTCCGAGTGTTGGCGCAGAAGCGAGCGCCAGAATTACGAGTCTCAACACATTGGTCTCTAGCAAGGCCAAGATGTCGGATTCAATTTGTCAGCTTTTTCGGACTAGATACTTCCAACAAAGCTTGCAGGTAAAACGTCCCTGGGCGCTCGGCGCATCGCTTGTGATCTCTGCCTAAACTTGACCATACACTTATCATTGACCTTGCAGGTTGCCATGGTGCGCAAACCCAAGGAAACACAAAGCTTACATGCCTCCGCAACCATTGCTTTCCTAAGCACATGATGGAAGTGCTTCAGAGGTTTGGACAGGCGATTATGTTCCTATTAGAGCACTACGGACTAGCCACCTGGCTCCCCTCTATCTGGAGCCTGCTTGCTCCCTTGCAAGCTTGGGTTGAAGGGAAGCGGTCACCGCATGGCTGAGCTAGACCAAGCTGGGTTGAGTGTAGCCTTTCCCAGCTCCACGAAGATCATAAAGGCCATTTCAGTCAAGGCCAAGTGCAGCCGGCCATGTCCATGTGCCGTACACCCCAGGACCGCCGGGCATTTTCACTACAGACCCAGGTGCGGGATATCTCGGCCTTTTCGCTCTGTCTCTAGAACCTCATGATGCACGTTGGGTGTTTTTGTGGGAGTTTCGGAAACCAAAAGGAAGATCTAAAATAAACTTCTAAAATGAAATGGCTGATGTTCTTACCTTTTTTAGCTCAACCCTGCAGGGTTGCCCAGCTTAGATCCTAGCTGAGCTGTGCGGTGCTTTTCGCCCAGGAGCCCACACACGTGCCGATTGCGTGCAAATGAATGGGTCTGGGTCTTGGGAGAGGAGCGGTCTTTTCATGTCATCTGCCAGGCAGGTTTGGCACTCCGCTATTCTTGGTTGTCGAGACTCAATGGTATGACTGGGTGGGCTACCAGCAAGGCTCGGGCGTCAACTCCCAGGGTGTCACCAAATGCTCTTCGGGGGATGTTGTCGCCGCTGGCTACACGCAGGGAGCTTTCGTCAGCAGTTTGACTGAGTCGCACTCGTTTGTGGTCAAAGCCACGCGCACAAAGGCCCTATGGACCATTCAGAGAGGGCCCGTGGCACCACATGGCGCCCGTGATTGTTGCTTGGCTTGCCGCATGCTCCGCATGCTGCAAACAGCAGTTCTAAATAAGGCACGAGTTGGCGGCCCGAGTACAGTAGTACACCGGCCATTTGGTTGCTGCCCAAGTGGCGCACAAATGGACGCAAGGGCTGCTCGTCTGATTGGCTGCTTGTGCCAACTGTCAAGTTTGGCACGCCGCTAGCAAAGATCCCCCAGATGCTCAAACGCAAAGCGCATCCTCTGCACGTCCGTCAGCTAAATCGGGTGACTGAATGTGTCTGAAAAAGAAATGACACAGGAAGGCTTGGCAACAGAATGTTGGTACAATCCGGCACGACGTACGGCTATCGGTCGCAGAGCTGCACCATCCCCCCTCGATGTGTTCCCAGCCGTCTTTCGCGGCTTCGGATCACCTGTTGGCACGCTGAGGCAGGCCACCTGCCGATGGTACAAGGCTCAACTACAGGTATGGCAGAGCTGGCGTGGATGGGAGGTTCACCAATTTCGGGTACAGCGTGATCAGGTAAAAAGACATGCGTGAGAAGCGTTGGCATTGGAGGCAATCAGACTTCACATCCTGCAATTGGCTGACCTCATCGCTGAGCAGCCTTCAGTCTCATGTACTGTCCACACTCCGGGCTGAGCCTGCAAGCGTTCCGGGGCTGACCCCAAGCTGAGACCCCACACCTGCAGCGCCCAAAGTTGCAGACGTTGAATATCGACTTTGGATCCGCAATTTCTGCCTGCGGAGCCGAATGCGACTATGCTCTTGAATCTGAATCCACCTGCCCCCACGTGACCCTCCTGCCGGAGATTGACACGGAAGGTATAGAAGGACGAAAACCTGTTTCGCACTGGCAAAAAAGCAGAAAGAGACTGTAAGCCCGTGGCGCATTGCAATTTCATTGCACGCAAGCTGCACCTTTCTGGCACATAAATTTCCTTCTGTGACAATGGTCTGGCACTTAAGAGCTGAGTTTCGATGGAGCAGGTCGCAGTCCGCAAGCTATCTGCCATCACGTGTTTCTGGAGGCGCCCGCTTGCGCGATGCGCTATGTGGCTATGTGTGGTGATTCAACCTGCTAGAGCTCTATGCGGGCCTGACCTCCCTACGCTACCGACACATGGGCCATGTTCATGTTGGTCCCGCCTTCCGGGCTCCAACGCAAAGTGCGCAAAACAAAATCAACCGGCGTGTGGCCAGGCCACCTGAAAGAGCGCCTGTGCCAAATGGCCAGCAAAGCCGCTGCAAGGCGAAGTCCGATTCACGTGGACCTCATTCAGCAGATTCTCGCCCCGAACTCAACGCAAAAGAAAACATCATTGCGCATGTGCACCGCCCCGGCAGACGCACCGGGAGGACCGGCGTGCACCGGGCCATCTGAATAGCCGTCCGCTGATATGTGCCAGTTCCTGTCAAGCCGACCTCACAACCCGCAGTGCACAGTGCCAAGTGGGGCATCGCATTGATGGCCGTTCCATTGGGGAACTCCCCAAATACAAATCCCACAGCTACACTCAGTTAGACCTCACATTGGTTGAATCTTCCAGAAAGGGTCCCATTTGTAGTCAGACTCAGCGCCCTACCCGGGCAGGACATGAGGCGCAGGTGAGCATCCCTGAGCCGGCACCCCATGACAAGTCCGACGGAGTGCTGAAGTTTCAAGGTGGCACTTTTCTAAAAACCTTTTCCGCTGGGTGATGCTCCAGCCCAAGTGCACGGAGCCTAGCAGTGGCTGGCCAAGGATCTTAGCCAAGACAGTTGCACGCTTGGTTGTGGCAAGCCTTCAACTGTTCCCGCAGTGAAAAGAATCGCATGGTGTCTTGATTTGTCTGGGAACAAGACTCGCAGTCATGTCGACTATGCCAAGAATCCTGCGCAAAGCGCACACACGTCGTCGAGATGCACATGCCGCTAGAGCGGTGTTCGACAGGTCCCGCAACCAATGCATTTCCGCGACAAACTGCGCGCAGCTGATCGCTGGTCGCTAGGTCAAAAGCATGCTGCACAAAAGGTGAGCTGCCTCAGAAATCCACCGCGTGCGTTCCTCGACCGTAGTGGAATTCCGGACTACTTGCATGGCCTGTGCAAAACTGTTTGGGGCAGGGCCTGGTCAGGCAGAGCATGCTGCCGCAGATTGCACCTGCGCCAAGGCACTCGGCAAGTTGCTTGCCATTGCGTGGTGCTGCACAGAGACAATGAGACCTTGCCGCTGCGTATGAGGCCACTGCATTTGCACGACGAGGCAGGCTGTTTTCTGGAGATTCCTAATCCTCATAGTGTCCCTTGTCCTAGCACGCCTTGTGTCAATCACGCCATCATTTAATGCACCAACGCCAGTAAAGCTTTTGCAGAACTCTTCAGGTGCAAATGTGGTGCAAGCCTCGCATGTACAGCTGGGCAACCCATGCTGCCTGCGCACGCTTTCGGAGCCATGCGAGCAAGAGTGGGCTGCAAACTAACAAAAGACCCCCGTTTCTGTTTCCCCGAAACCCTTGCGCAAAGGCTCCTGAGGAAACAAAGGGCACCTCGGCACCTGAACAAAATCAAACTGGAAGCAGTGAAATCTGTGTCAGTCCTTTAGAATCACGCCTGTCTCTCCGCCCCTGCGAGCAAGGTGTGCATCATGCGCCCACGTGACCGACATCGACTCCATGCTGTGAATCATTCATTTGCTGCCATGCAGAACTGGTTCTGCACCATGAGCAAATCCTTCAGAGTCTGTGGCCGGAATACGTTGCCAAGCTGAGCTTGAAGCGAGCCAGTGGCCATGCTGGCTGTGAACGCACTGCCATCATCCGAAGGCCGAAGGCCGATGGATCCAGTGAGTGCAATGACCGACTCAAGAGTTGGCCCCAGATCGGCCAAGCAAAACAAAACCCGGCATCAGCAGCTCGTCATGTGCGCAGCCGGAGGTCGTGTCCAAGAGGGAACAGCGAGTGGAGCAAGGTTGTCCAGCAGAAGCAACCAACCCCAAACATCTACATTGAAAGTTGCTGGCGGTGCTAGAATTTGGCCCAGAGACTTTGCACTCCCTTGGTTTGTAATGCCCAGGCCTTAACTTAGCACTCGCTGCTCCAGCTACCCTCGAGTCAGCAAAGCCAAGGTCTGTGTGCGCAGCATATCAATATCCTCGGAGCCCGTGCTCTCGGGCAGGAAAGCCTCTCTTGGGTCACTACCGAAACCAAGAAATGGAGTCCACCCAAAACCGTGCAAACAATCAAAAGAGCGGACGCATCTAGTGATTGGATTCGCCCCCGTATGTTCAACTATTCAGGCTTTGCTCGCGGCTCTGCCAGGTGTGTCGGGTCCCATGCGTCGGCTCCTCCGTCACACTTTGACTGGCGTGAACCAGCAAAACGCCCCAACCTTACGCCCCTTACGCCCCTTATGCCCCTTGCGCTCCTTGTCGGCAGGGGAGAAATCCTCCACAAGCTGCAATCCGTGGCCACCTTTGGCGCCCAGCTGACTCGGCACCCATCACGAGCTGGAAGCGAGGTGGCCATGCCGGCTTTGAACGCGAATCAGCGGAAGGGCGATTCGAGTGACTGCAGTGTCTGCTTCTTCATCTCATATCGGCATGCTTCACAACGTCATCTCCGACATCACGTATCCTCTGCACTGAGTTGCGCCGTGTTTGCTTGCAAGCGGTGCACTACCTTGGCAGAGCCTTGACGCCAATCTGCTCTGTCTCATTCTGGACTCTTCATTCCGCGTGGGATGACACGAGGCCGCGGACAACTACGTCCGCCAGAGTCTCTAAATGTCCCGTCGTCTGCCCTGATCCGCCTCAAGGAATACTGGCAGAAAATTGACTCTCTCTCAGCTCAACGGCAACAGCAGAAGAACTGTCGCAGTGGAGGGTCCGGCAATGATCACACGCAGATATGCTGCAAGCCTCGCGTGTGCAGTCTGGACCCCTTCATGTCAACCCATGCTGCCTGCGCACGCTTTCGGAGCCATGCGAGCAAGAGTGGGCTGCAAACTAACAAAAGACCCCCGTTTCTGTTTCCCCGAAACCCTTGCGCAAAGGCTCCTGAGGAAACAAAGGGCACCTCGGCACCTGAACAAAATCAAACTGGAAGCAGTGAAATCTGTGTCAGTCCTTTAGAATCACGCCTGTCTCTCCGCCCCTGCGAGCAAGGTGTGCATCATGCGCCCACGTGACCGACATCGACTCCATGCTGTGAATCATTCATTTGCTGCCATGCAGAACTGCACCATGAGCAAATCCTTCAGAGTCTGTGGCCGGAATTCATCACCACCTCCGGCAGCACGCACTCTCTCCGCCAAGCTGACTCAGGCTGTTCACTGGAGCTGCTTAAGCATTTCCAGAGCGTCCCTTGCAGGGTACGTCTCGCGTGAGTCACGCCATCATTTCATGCACGAGTAGTGGCTCCAGCACCAGCAAAACATATGCTACACTCGTCACGTGCAAATGTGGTGCAAGCCTCGCGTGTGCAGTCCGGACCCCTTCATGTCGGCTGAAAGAACTGGGCAACCCATGCTTCTAGCGCACGCTTTCAGAAAGGCTCTTGCGAGCCATGTCTGCTGCCCGGTGTTGACATGGCCCTGGTGTGAGCCATGCAAGCAAGAGTGGCTGATGTGGGGACATCGACTCGCATGTGACATCAAGAACGCCAAACCCCAGATCGGCCAAGCAAAACAAAACCCGGCATCAGCAGCTCGTCATGTGCGCAGCCGGAGGTCGTGTCCAAGAGGGAACAGCGAGTGGAGCAAGGTTGTCCAGCAGAAGCAACCAACCCCAAACATCTACATTGAAAGTTGCTGGCGGTGCTAGAATTTGGCCCAGAGACTTTGCACTCCCTTGGTTTGTAATGCCCAGGCCTTAACTTAGCACTCGCTGCTCCAGCTACCCTCGAGTCAGCAAAGCCAAGGTCTGTGTGCGCAGCATATCAATATCCTCGGAGCCCGTGCTCTCGGGCAGGAAAGCCTCTCTTGGGTCACTACCGAAACCAAGAAATGGAGTCCACCCAAAACCGTGCAAACAATCAAAAGAGCGGACGCATCTAGTGATTGGATTCGCCCCCGTATGTTCAACTATTCAGGCTTTGCTCGCGGCTCTGCCAGGTGTGTCGGGTCCCATGCGTCGGCTCCTCCGTCACACTTTGACTGGCGTGAACCAGCAACACCTTGTCAGCCGGCGCGCATCTTTGACAGGGAGAAATCCTCCAGAATCTGCGGCATAAATCCGTCAATCTGGATTCTGGCATAAAGCACCTGTGGCTCCAAGATGCTCATGAGGCGACAAGTCAAAGGTCATGCAAGTGGTTCTCCATATTGCTCGAATGCGCTACACAAAGCTGTGTCAGACAGTGCCTATTCAGGCATAGCATGAACCCGCGCAATGCATCTGGGGCCCAGCACAAAAGCCAGGTGTCTTGCTATTGAATGAAACCTTGCAGCTTCGCAAAACAGACCAAGCTGGGAAAGGCTGGCAAAGTCCGCTGACAGAACTATGCAGGCTTGCAACCTGTTGCCAATGCGGCACTAAACATTGCTGAACATTCAAGGCCAGCTCGATTGCTCCTAAGACTCTCCCAACAGACTGGGTGTTCCGAATAAGAACGAAGACATGAGCCCGCCGTCCATCAGGCAAGTACTTGCATGACAAGCTGAGGTCCTCTGTACGACCGTTACACTGGAGGAACGGTGGTGCAAGTGGTTCTCCATATTGCTCGAATGCGCTACACAAAGCTGTGTCAGACAGTGCCTATTCAGGCATAGCATGAACCCGCGCAATGCATCTGGGGCCCAGCACAAAAGCCAGGCGTCTTGCTATTGAATGAAACCTTGCAGCTTCGCAAAACAGACCAAGCTGGGAAAGGCTGGCAAAGTCCGCTGACAGAACTATGCAGGCTTGCAACCTGTTGCCAATGCGGCACCAAACATTGCTGAACATTCAAGGCCAGCTCGATTGCTCCTAAGGCTCGCCCAACAGACTGGGTTTTCCGAATAAGAACGAAGACATGAGCCCGCCGTCCATCAGGCAAGT